CGTCTTGGTTTTTATTATTCCTGGTCTCTTATCTCCTTCCCTCCACAGCCCATTCTCCATTGCAGCAGTAAGATGAGGTTTCTGAAATGGAAACCAGAACCCGTCTTTCCTCTGCTTAGCTTCCAATTTCTCTTTACTGCACTTAGAATAAATTAAATTGCTTTCCATGCCTTGTAAGCCTCCCCACATCCTATGGTCCAGCTCTCTTTCAGATCTCATTTCTTAGTAGTCTTGCCCTTGCAGTCATTATGCACCATCACACAGACTTTCATTCATCTCCCCAGCAAGACAATTTAGTCTCACCACTGGCTATTTACTCTGCTGATCCTTCTGTTTGGAATGCTTTTCTTGCACACTGGCACAGTGGATTTTTTTTTTTTTTTTTGGTAGAGGTTTTTGCAATAGAGCGTGTGTGCTCGCCAGAAAGACAGAGAGACAGAAAGCGAGAAATCACCCCCTTTGGGGGACGGCCACGCCATAATCCCTCCTCCTCCATTCTCCTCTCAGAATCTTGGGCACACACGCACACACGCCTGGTATGAGTTTAAGCCACTGGGTCCAGAGCTCGAACTGCGTCGACTACGTGGAAGTTCAGCGACATAGCCATTACACTAACTGCTGGTCCTGGCTTCTTTCTCATCATGTGGTCTCAGCTCAAAAGGCCTATCCTCAGACACCCTTACTCTGGTGTCACCATATGTAACATTGTCTCTGACCATTCCAATCACCATCACATTATGTTACTGTATTTTTTTCTAGCATTCACCACTAGCTACAATGATATCACTTGCAGACTTGATTTGGAGTTGGTGATTAGAATATCATTTCATGCAGTATAGGAACTTTGTCTTAGCCATAACTCTAGTACCAGGATCAGTAAATGGCCAAACCGTGGTTTGATGAATAAAGAGATGAATGAACCATTTCTGAATATTTCCCTTCTTTACTTTTCTATCCTGTTACTCAACAACTCTATCAATTTTTTTTTCCTACTTCAGTCAACCTGATTTCCTTGAGAATCTGTAAGAATAAAACTGACCTCTAACTAGGACCCTTTTGCAATTTCCTCTTTGACCTAGTTCCCGCCTTGTGCCTATCTAACTATTCATGTTGTATCGCTAAGTTTAAGTATTAGCTACATTCTATTTCCATGAAGTCATGTCTCACAGTCTTCATTGGCTTCCCTCCTTCAAATAATGCAAAATGACTCTTCCATTGTATGCAATGTAAATACTTCTATACAATCTGTATTATCTTAAATTATTTCTTGGTGTTTCACATAATATTTAGGTACTGTGCTTACACACACTGTGTGTGTGTATGCAGTGGATCATTATCATTTACAGATTCTGTATTTGCAAATTACACACTCACTAATATTTATTTGCAAGCCCAAAGTTGATACCTGTGGTGCTTCCGTGATCATTCTGTGGATATGCACAAAGCATGACAAAAAGTGAGTCACCCGAGGCTCTGGTTCTCAGCTGAGATCATTCTGCCTTCCTGTTTCAACTGTCGTACAGTCAACAAGTGTCTTTTTTATTTGAAGTCCATTTATGACTTTGTTGGTGATCTCTCTATTTAAAATGATCACTAGGGGCCAGCAGACTGTGTAACAGTTATGTCACTGGACTCCCACGTAGTCGAATGTGGTTTAAGGTCCAGAGCCTGGGCTTAAATCTCACTGGGCATGAGTATGTGCATGCCTTAAATCCCAAGAGGAAAATGGAGAAGAGAGTGCAGCATAGCCATTCCCCTGGGGGTAATTTCTCACTTTCTGCCTATCTCTCTGGAAAGAACATGTGCCCTGTAGAAAAAAAAAAAAAATTCTCAAGAAAAAGGTAATAAATAAAATATGGTTCTTAAGCGTAGTGCCAAAGTACTGTCTAGTGTTACTCAGCACAAGAAGGCAGTGCTGTGCTTGGTGGAGAAAACAGGTATTAGGTGAGCTTTATTCAGGCATGAATTATAGTTCTTCTGTGTTAATAAGTCAACAGTTAAATAAGGTGCCTTTAAATAGACACTCACATAAACCAAGGATATGTGTTGATTGGTTGATGATGTTATGACCAGAACCTCATAGGAACCTAGCCCTGTATTTTCTCTAGGAGCAATCATTCCTTATTTGCTAATTCTATTGTGACAACTTTATAGAACGTAAACTGTAATAACGAGAATTGACCACTTACTCGTGGATGTATATTTATGTTGGTATTAGTCTTATCTCAGTGTTTAGGAAATAAAAAGCAATACTAAGTTGAAATTAAGTAGTTTGCCCAGGATCATGTGCCAAGCTGCGAAGTAATAGATCTTAAGTCCAGCTGTCAGGTTCCTATGTCTTTAAGCTTTTGGCTTTCCATTTGTCATGCCTTCTCTATTTGTTTCAATTAGCTATATAGCCTAGTTATTCCACAATAAACCTTCTTCCTATAATAAGTGTGTGCACACATGAGTATGTGTGTATATGCACACACAAGCATGTGTGTATACATATATATGTGGACATATTAGAATTGGAATTTCTGAAGGATGACTGAAAAGACATAATTCACGCAGAGCAGTAGATGGAATTTTTTAAAAACCAGCTTCTTATAATCCCAGTTTAGTGTTTACTTGTTGTGATCCTGAATTGGTGACGATATCCAAAAACTTCATATTCCTAATCATGGAAATGAAAGTCTAATAAGCAGCCAAATCTTAAACAAAAATCAAAACTAAAAAAATGTTGCCATAACCAGAGTTTGTTTTCTGGCATGTGGTGCACACCTTAAACTTGCCTGGCATTTATCTGAGTTGAATTCACAACTGCTGTGGAAGTGAACACACCTGTATGTTGTATATGGTTAGGCAGGCTCAGGCTTGATTTTACAAAGAGCCATCATCTTCCTAATCAATTGGACACTTAACACAGACATGACAAAAGAAATAATATTCTAAAATCTGCACAACACAGATTAACATAAATTATTTTGTAGTCTCTTGTATTTTATATCAATTTACATATATTCTCCATGTATGCTTACACATGTAGGTACATATACATCTATACATGTACTTACGACATATTTTTTTAGGACCAGCAGATGGCATAATGGTTATGTTGCTGGTCTCCCACATGGCCGACTACAGTTCAAATTCCAGACCTGGTGGCTCGAAATTTATGCCAGGAGTGCGTGCCTGTGTGCCCAAAATCTGGACAGGAGAATGGAGGAGAAGGGATCATCAGGTGGCCATCACCCTAGGAGGTGATTTCTCACTTTCTATCCCTCTGTCCCTCCAGCAAAAGCATACGCCCTATAGCAAAAAATCTCTCTTAAAAAGACTTTTTTCGCATATCGTATAATTTATGTTTTAAAACAAATGTAATTTAAACATTTTTGGAACCTTCAAAACACCTTGGTGAACAGAATTTGAAAATCTGTTCTTTTTATCTTTCCTCTGATGCTTTTCTTTTCTAAGTAGATTGTATGAGTGCCTTGAGGGTAAGAATCATATCTTTTCTGCCTATGTATTTTTCAAATGATTTTAGCTTAGTACTAAATATAAAGAAGTCTCTCACCATTGATAATCCAATTTAGCCCAGATGGTTGACTACCAGCTGTATTAGACCAAAGATTTCTGCAGTATTGTGTTTAGAATTAAATAGTGTGGTGGGCTGACGCTGTGTGGAATAGGGTATTTTTCTTTTCTTTTTTTTTTTTTGTATTTTTTAATTTTACATACAACCATTGTATATCTTTGTGTGATACTTTATTTTTTAAAAGCATGTACACAGTGTGCAATAATTAAATCAGAGATATACACGTATTTATTACCTTCAACAGTGAACATTACTTTATATTGTGCATATTTAATGTTCATTCTGCTAGTTACTTGGGGGGGATATATATTGTCAATGACATTTTATTCTTTGCTGAGATGTACCATTCCATAACCTATTCCATTTAGTTACATGCATTCTTGTGTCTGATGCGAGTCTTAACATATGTGTAAAATGGGTGGGATTTTTCAAAATGTGATGTTCTTTTGACATTTCTTTTCTCTCTCTCTCTTTTTTTTTGGGGGGGAGAGGTTTTTCGCTATAGGGCGCGTGCGCTCGCCAGACAGACAGAGACATAGAGACAGAAAGCGAGAAATCACCCCCCAGGGCGGATGGTCACACTGCAATCCCTTCTCCTCCATTCTCCTCTCGGGATCTTGGGCACGCACGCACACACGCCCGGCGTGAGTTTTAAGCCACCAGGTCCGGGACGCAAACCGCTGTCGACTACGTGGGAGTCCAGCGACATAGCCATTACGCTAAATGCTGGTTCCCAGACATTTCTTTTTCTCTTGAAATAAGAGCCAAGCATGAGGCTCAAATTAACATTTTTCAACTTCCAAAAAGCTGCTAGGAAAGGGTTGAATGAGGAGCTTCCAACAGGGAAGCAAGAGAATACAACACTGTGTCTCAAGTTGATAATACAATTCCTAGCATATTAGAGAAGGGACCAAGAGGTGTTTAAAGCTGTCTCATTATTGAACTGAAGCTTTAAATTCTGAAATTACTATTATTTCAATATTTCACGATATTTTGTTTCCCCTTAAATTAATTAAATGGTTGCATGTCCACTGACTGTAATGATCTTGTTTTTGAGGCACTAAGCGTTTTACAAATCAAGGTGTCAAGGTAGATGTATTTTATCCCAGCTTAAAGCAATAGTGAATTTCATTGTGCAGATAAGAATGGATTAACCTCTGACTCCACCTGTGGTTTTGCTGCTTGGCCACTTCAACTGGACCAAGTATACCTGATTTCAAGCTTTTTCCTGCTAGGGTTAATAAAAATGTCTACTGTGTTTAGCAATATAAGCACCACTCAGCCTTTGTTTAGCAAAATTTCTATCTCAGCCATGGAATAAAATGCAAAAGCAGTAGGGGGATTCTAAATTTTCCAGCCTGACATTCCATGTTTATTTTGCAGTAAGATTATTGAAAACAATAATTCTTTCTTGCTTCAGGAAAAATTGTCAGAAGAAGAGAAAAAACATACAGAAGTTTTGGAAGATCTTCACATGGTGGTAGATGAGGATTCAAGGAGTGAAAGCAGCAGTACAGATGAGGCAAAAGAAGAGACTAAATTGCTGTTAGAAAGATTGAAAGCTCTGGAGGTAAGGATTGAAACAATTTTTATACTTTTAAAGAAAAATAACAGTGTTCTGCTTCTTTTATTGGCACAGGCTTTGAGGGAGTATAAATCTTCCTTTCTTAGTTCTCCCGGACTAATACAATCTAGTGTCTCCCATTGAGATTTATCTGTCAATGATGAGCAAAAGTTAACCTTTGTAGTATCAAAAGGGACTTAACCTAGTGTTGACGAGTTTATTGCCCTAAAAGAGTACATAGGACCATAATTCACTTCAAGTTCAGTTCAGCCCTCATACCAGATCAGTTTCTAAAATTGCAAGCTACTTGAGGGAAGGGGCTGTGTGATACTTCATTTTGTTTTCCTAGGACCTAACAAAATGAATGAGCAAATGAATGAGTAAGCAATACCCAATAGTATATAAGAAGGATGGGGAAAATAAAAAAAGAAAAAGGTGGGGGGAGGAATACATACAAAGGGGACCTTCAAGTTCCTGGGAAAACGGAATTATAGTATGAGTGTTTTATTGCAAGAAAAAAAAAAAAGAAAAGATGAAGAAATTCACACATAACTTTTTCATATTATGCCTTTTCTATGATCTTTTTGAAGACCCCTTTGTGTGCGTGCGTGTGTGTGCATGCGTGCGCATACATAAAATTTTAAGCAGAAGTATTTGTTAAAAACAAAGCAAAAATCTGTGCAGAAGTCCAGCATAAAAGCCTTAAAAATAGAGCAAAAGCCAAACTCTTCTATAAGGAAACATTTGGAACAGTCTAAAACACAATTCGAAAACCACTGGTTTATTACTTACTGCCATTTGATATCACTTCAAGTGGTAATTCCTGAATTTTTATAGAACTCATTGAAGAGCAATCCAGTTATTCGTTCTTGACGGAGAATTCATGCGCTGACTCAGGAAATATTTGTTGTCTTTCACTTACCTCTTTTTCATAAATTTACAAGGGACTTTCACCCAAAATCTGAAAATGTGGTTTTGCAGGCCAGCAGGTGGCCTGGTGGTTAAGGTGCCGGACTCCCACATGGCTGACTATAGTCCAAGTCTCGAACCTGGTGACTTGAGCACATGCATGCTCTCTTTCTCCCTCTCTTCCAATTAAAAAAAAAATTAAATAATTCTTTTGAAAAATATAAAATAAAATAAAAATGTGGTTTTACCATAGAGTTTATAGAATCCTGAAAACATTGATCATGTGAAGAAAGAAGACTTGAAAGTGTCTTGTTTTCTATGCTAAGTTTCTACAGTCCTGCCTCTAATCTCACCGTATAGTAAGCTTATACTTTTAATGGTAATTTCCTGAATGATAGAAAAGCAACATGATCAAAATTATGGACTTTGTGGCCAGATTTTCAGGGGTTGGTTTGAATACCTCTTATACTGCTTTCTAGCTTTGAAACCTTCAAAGTTAGGCTGTCTGTGCCTCTCCTTTCTCAACTACAAGGATGAGGATAATAATAGTTATTAACCTTAAAGAGAAGTAATAAGAATTAAATCAGTTGTTATTTTTACAATGATGCCCAGAGAGTTGTCTTTTCTATCCATCCGCTCCAAGGCTGCTACCTTTCCTTAATTACTTTTTTCCCATATATCTGGATGCAATGATTCATATAAAAACCATGAATAAAAATATTCAGCTATTTCACACAGGTGTGACTTAATGCAGACAATAAAGGGAGTGACACCAAACCCTGGATAGAAGAGAGGTCAGCTAACAGAACCTCTGGCAGTTTCACCTAGTGTAGGGCCAGGAATCACTTCCCCCTGAGAGAATTCTCAAACTTTTGTTCTCGTTAGAGACAGGACCTTGGTATGGAGCCTGGAACTCAACATTCCCCGGTACTGGCCTCCCAAGTCGCTAGCGTTACAGGCATACACACTGTGCCTAGCTTCATGCTTTTGGTCATACTTTCGTCATTTTGAAAGATAATCATTGTAAAAGGTAGAAAAGTCTCCAGAAGGGAAACTGAAGTTACTATTTGACAGTTTGAAGAAACTCATAGCTTTGTCTTGAGATTGAATTAACTGGATTCAGCAATAAAGATGACTGGATGTTACAATTTCTTATTTCCCTCGAACCATGTACTTAAATTGTTTTGTTTATAATTACAATGAAAATTATTCATAGTTTATCTTCTTGTCAGAGACAAGTTTGTAAAGGACATTTTATTTAATCAAGCTAAAAGCTAAGACGTATTTAACAAATATATTTGGCAGAAAATGTTTCTTAAATTTTACTGAGTAACAGAGCAATATTTTTTCTTTACTGCTTCCACAGAAGTCTTTACACTCCAGGTAACAATGCCTCCATCCAGCATTGGTCGAATGCAAAGGGTAATAATATTTTCATGTGCCATTAAGCACTACAATTTTAATTCGCAAAAATATTTTCTAAATTAATTTAAATTTAGTCACACTTATTACCTTAAATTGTTTACCCCCAAATCACTGTCCTCTACTTGAACAGTTAATTAAGAATATTATTTTGTACTATAAAATAAATAAGTAATATAGGCATATGTATACAATAAATTACATTTATAAAAGTATATTTAAAAATATATAGATATATTAGTATATAATATATACATATCATTATTATATGTAGTCCAATTTTGATATGATTTTTTTTTTTTTTGCCATGGGGCACATGCACTTGCCAAAGACAGAGACAGTGAGAGGGAAGGTAAGAAATCACTCCCAGGGCAATGGCTATACTGCAGTCCCTTTTCCTCCATTCTCCTCAAGATTTTGGGGGGCATGCACACACACACATGCACCCTGCATGATTGTTAAGCCACCAGGTCCAGAGCAGGAACCACAGTTGGCTGTGGGAGTCCAAAATCTAACCATCATGCCACCTACTGACCCTTCATATAAATTTTATATGCTACTTAATTTATATTTTAGCCTTTCCTACATATGTTCATTGTACAGGATCTTTTGCATGGGTTAAACATTGTTGTGGAAAATTGAAGACTTATTTGTACAGACTGCAGTCAGAACTGGTCACAGACACTTACGTGGATTTATACACTTTGACAAAATACTCCTTTGGAAGATTGCAGGGGAATTAGCCCTAATGCATCAAAATTACTTTGGCAGAATTTGATGTTGTATTGCAAGCTTTTAGAACAGGAATAATTTCCATTGATGTGTGTATGTATGTATATCCTAATCTCTTGACCCCTGGTGGTGTTAGAAACAGGAATGATTCTCAGGGTGATGCAAAGCAGTCTTCTGTTAATTTCTGCTCCTAAATAGACTCCAAGAAGGTGTAAAGGAGAGGCAGCATTAACTTCTAAAATTACATTCTAAAATGCTGTGGCAAAATATTCAAGAACACCTTAGACTGTAGCTATAGAATCCCCAAGACTGAGAGAGGTCTAGTGCCTCCACTCCTAAATCCCCCAGATTTTTCCCCCTGTGGCCATTCTGAAACTAGATGCCTGCTTACACAACTTTCAATCCCTCTTTTTAGTTTCCAAAATTTAACCTTACAAAGGATATGGGATCAAGGCAGACATTGTAAGCATGTAGAAACCTCGACTTGGTCTTTCTGTGGCTCTGTTTCCTCTCAGTCCTTTGTATCTAGGACTGCTTTCTCCTCGATTTACAGCCCCTGTCTCAGGACTTGGCCAGCCCTATTCCACTCCCAGCTCCCACAACCAGATTCCCCACCATCAGTATGTAGAGCTCCCAAGTTCTCTCTGTGCCACCTCATGAACTCATTCCTTACCATTCCCAAGGTCATCAAGGTGTTTTGCTAAAGGAGACCTTTACCTTCCTAAAAAAGTTCCAGGATCAGCAGTTAAAATAATGATTACATATGCATGCATGCATACATATACACACAGATATTTTTCTTCCTATTAGCAGTCATTTTCTCTGTTGAGCCTTGGTTTGTGCCTTGGTTTTAGCCATTTTTAGTTGTTTATGGAGAAAAGTAAGCCATTTACCCTCACTACACAGTTACTACTTGCGCTGGGCCTAAACTGTAAGTTCTATCTAGGAACCTGATGTTTCTTGGGGACTTACTTGGTATATTTTATCTCTGTGTCATAAGGGCCACATGGATGATCCAGATGCCAATTGCATGTTTGCTGCAACCTATCAGTGCCTGGGTAGGATGTTTCCTATGTTTCACAGAGTTTGGGTTTTCACAGCTGCTATTTTAGAGCCTGCTTACTTTACTTAGGAAATAGCTCCTTGTTCTTAACTCAAAATCAGTGCCATGGCATAACACTCTCACCCATCATACCTATATCACTGATTAAGAGATCCCCCTAGACTCGTTCTCCAGAATCTGTTGGCATCATCTTCAGTCTTCTATATTCTCTACTCATGAACATTTGCCTCCAACCTGGGTTTGCTTATCGCATGTTCCTTGAAATACATGATTCATTTGTCTCCACAGCCCTTCCTCACACTTCCACAGCCTTTTCTCCCCACTCATGGACCAGTTCACACCTAGAAGCTCACTGGACGTTGTCCTTGCTTACTGCTGATCGCTGTAGCATCTCCAGCTCCCAGATTATAGCTAAGAGAAAAACAGGCCTGGCTCTGCTGGAGAGTTCTGAGCAACCTGCACATACCGGTGCCTTAGCTCTAGCCTCAAGGTCAGAAGAATGTAGCCTCTTATAGGAATGATTTATTTTGTGCAGAAAAATATGGCAATTAAATGTACTAAGGTGAATAACAACTTTTTCTACTCAATTATACCTTTCCATGAAAGTATGGCAATTAAAGTGCTAAGCATAAGCATTTTGTTAATAAGTAATTCTTGTTTAAAATTAAGTAGCTTAAAATAGTCAAACCTGACTGCACATCACAATTATATGTAGAACTCGTAGTCAGTAGATGTATACTGAATACTTTCTATGGGCCAAATCCAAGCCGTTCAAGGAGTTTGGATTAGATTGGTTTTTATTGTCTCCATGGCAGTGAGCAGGGACAGGAAGTGCATATGTAAATAATGAATAAGCAAGCAAACATACAAATAAACAAAA